TGGAGGGAAAGATGTGGAGTTCAAAATAAGGGAAATCCAAACTCTTCATTTAAAGAAATCTAGGAAGAACTTTAAAACAGAAGAGAGTCAGAAAAGCAGAAAACTTCTTCATGAAGGGCGAGTGCACCTGAGAAACTGTAAGGCATACCTGGGCAAAGCATGAAAGCAAGTTCTGCATGTACATCGGGACAATTCCAAAGTATTCCGTTTCTTCAGCAGAATTTCAGACCACATTCAAGTTACATTAGTTCTATCCTATAAATTCACACATAAAGAAACCAGGAGGATTTGCAGGTGGAAGCTTTCTGAGAAGCTGCCAAGAAGCTTCCACTTTTGGCAATTTCGATCAGGGCAGCAGCAGGAGGCGGCTGGCTGAGAAGACTAACTGGTAATAAATAGATAGAAAGAAATCAAATAAAGAATTATGGATTATGTTACAAATCAAGCACCAATGCAAAATTCACATCTTCCAGATTTATCTCTGCTTGCCTTGCATCAGGTCAGGTGCTGTGGAATCAGAGGCAAGAGTGAATTCAGTGGGGAATAGCAGCTGGAACTGGTCCAAACAGGTCACTAAGGAACCAGAGGGAAGGATCTAGGAAGAACAAACCTTGCAAAATCACGATTTAGACAAAGCTTGGAACCAAAGGCAGAATACGGAGGATTGGGAAGAAGAGCAAAATGCCCACCCTAGAAAGAATAGGTAGGTGCGATTCACTTTTGGAGGAAATCAATCCTTCACTCCAGAAAACTCGGGCATTCGCTCTTCGGGCATTCACATGGAAGCAAATATCCCCAAGGAAAAGCTGGCTTTCCTGAAATATACGGCACCTTTCAAAAAGTACTTTTTTCTGGTAATAATTTGGGCTACACCTATTATGAATCAGACCTGCTGTGTACCTCCATCCATGGACACTGCAGCCAAAATAAGCTTCATAAGCTGCAGTTCTATCGTCTGGGCAATTGATAATAAACCAGTGTTTTTCAGTCCTGGGGACTTTAAAATATGTGGACTTCAACTTCTAGAATTCCCCACCCAGTATAGCTGGCTGGAGAATTCTGGGAGTTGATCCACAGATTTTGGCAGATTTTATGAACAAATACTGTGCACAAAAACCAGTGAGGTCAAATGTACCTTCTAGCTCCGTGATGGTGAACCTTTGGCACGTGTGCCACCTGTGGCACGTGAAGCCATATCCGTGGGCACGCAAGAATTACCCTAGCTGAGCTCCAGCGTGCATGCGTGCGCTGGCCAGCTGGTTTTCGGGCCTTCTGGGCCCACCGGAAGTCAGGAAACAGGCCATTTCCAGCCTCCAGGGGATCGGGGAAGGCCGTTTTTGCCCTCTCCAGGCTCCTAGAAAGCCTCTGGAGCCTGGGGAGGGTGAGAAATGGGCCCATTGTGCCATCACATGCCAAAAGCAGGGGGAACACGGGGGGGCAGTCACATGTGCAGGGGGACGGGGTGCATTGAATTATGGGTGTGGGCACGCAAGCACCCCCACTTTTGGCACGCAACGGCAAAAAGGTTAGCCATCACTGTTCTAGCTGATAGCTTTTGGCCCAGAGATGGGGAGCAAGATGCAACTGAGTCTAATTGCAAGCTGACATGACCAAATCCCTTTTGGACACTGAGATCAGAGAAATCCACATCAGTCAAAAAAAGGTATGACTGAAGTGGAAGAGAGTTGTGAGTCAAATCCACCTGGGAACCTCTTTGCTTATCTCCAAGTCAGCTACAACAGATCTTTCCATTAAGATCTCTAGAAACAAAGAAGGATCAGGATTCTTCAGGATCCATCTAGTCTAGACATCCAAGCATCCATGATTTGGGACACTAAAATTATTATTCAAAGTGTGCCAGGGGGTGGGGACTGACTGACATTCAAGAGTTCTGCTTCCTCTTTTAAAAAAATATTTTAGTATCAGGGTTGATGAAATAGGCATCCAACAGTTATAGATGATAATTGTATTCTTTTTACTTTAAACCTTTATGTCTACAGAAAAATTGTACTAATTCCCTAATGAATTCATTTATACTAAGAACAACCAATACATGTTCCATTTTAGTTCTGTAATCATAAGAATACTAAATTTAAATAGGTCTAATATATGCACTGCACATTCAGAATATATCATTTGTAAACAATATAAGACTTAGCCATTTTCTTGAAGATTGCCATACTGCAGAAACTGTCTGCTTCAAAATGAAATTATACCCATGGTTATCTAAAGACCACTAAATCCTTGGGTTCAGTTCATGCTGCCTCCATCTTTATGGACTTCTGACATCCTAATGAAGGACACATTGATATCATTCAAGAATGCAACAAGCCTTAATAGTATAGGGATTTTCTAATGCAACGTAATTCTTTTGATTTGCAAACAAGGCCATAATGCACCAGATACAAAAATAATTTTTATCCTTAAAAAATGCATATTGATGTGCAATTTTTAAGAAGAGTATTTGAGTTTGGCCGGTCAAGAGTTCAGAGGTAGTATTTCAGCCAATACCCATTTCCAACAATGATATGCTATGTATGATGCAACACATTGTAACAATCAGCTTTGAGGACAACATAGGAGGAGGGGGCAAGAGAAACCAGGGATGGTGTAGCAAGATTTTTAAAATTATGATCACTAGCCAGCGTGTCTCCTGGTGATTATGGAGAGGCACCCAACCTCCGTTCCAGACAGATAAATATCTAGGGCTTTTCTGGTTCAAACAATGACTTCATTGTTATGACCTGATGAGTATAAATCTTGCAAGAATCTGCAGCCTGTGATAAATGCATTTGGGTCATGTACTCATCCTTACACTTTCCCCAAAGGAGCCTGTTGAGCATCTTTGAACTTCCAGTGGTGAGCAAACCTCCTTCACTCAACCCATTAATCTCTAATTGGATTAGCCAGTGAGCATTGATTCCCTTACTATCAGATCATGCAAAGATTTTTGGAGAAACATCAAAGGGAAAGGCACCCTTAGCTTTTTTTCTTAGCCTTTAGGTTTTTTTTTTTCACTCGAGTTGTCTAAAAAACCTCACACAGATTTCTACCAAATGTAGGTAAATTCTGTTCTTGCCTCCTGATACAATTTTTTAGGGGGAACAGGAAGTGGAACATTGCATAGTTATTAAAATAATCATTGGGTAGGTAAACCTGAGCTGCTTTTGATTAACTCAGTGATTCTCAACTTCAGAAATTTTAAGATGTGTGGATTTCAACTCCCAGAATGGTCCAGCCAGCATTCTGGGAGTTGAAATCCACACATCTTAAAAATTGCCGGGATTGAGAAGCATCGAGTTAACTGAACCAGTTTTATGAAATGGCCTCGCTTTCTGGGGACTTACATGAAAAGTTGAGTGACATTAAATATGGGCTGGATGTGCAGGCTAAAATGAGGTGTGACGAGTGTGCAACCACTAGGTTGCATTTCTGCAAAAGGCCTCTCAGCATAAAGTCAAACGAAGGAAAGCAGGGAGGCACTGAGTGGCACTTAAACAAAAATATCCACCCTGCTCCTAATCAATTCCACAAAAGTTGGCAAAGGACCACTTTCCCCTGGCACATCCCCAGCTGGGCATTAGTCCTGGCATTCGGAATGCACTTTTCCTAAAGTGCCCTGCAGAAAAACAAGAGGCTGATTAAAACACTGCACCCATCCAGGCCAAGCATTGCCTTCAACAAGTGGAGCCTGGAGAGGCAGCTCCTAATTCAGAAGGCTGAATGAAAAATTAAATCATGGAAACTACAGTAAGTCTGTGTGTAATCATCCTTGGGTTTCTTAAGCGATGCAGTGGGCTTCCTTGGGAGTAAGGACAATGGAGCAGACCAGAACTAACTTCTCAACAAACTCCTGGCATCAACTAGTTGCAATCCCTTTCCTGTCTAGCCCCTTAGCTAGCAAAGGCAACAGAGCCCATTCTTCCCATATCTAATTTAAATCAAGGATTAATTGCCTGCATTCAGACAAGCCTTACTTGGTTATCCTGTCAACCCACTTTCTACGTTTGTGCACTATATTGAGCTACATTAGTGGACAACCAGCCCGGGTTCACACAACGTGCTAAGCTAGAAAAATAACACAACCACATTCAGCACTTAAACAACTTAGCAGGTTGCATCTGCTAGAATTAGCTAGATCTTCACCGGGCAAACTTTAAGGGAAGGCATCCCGGAGTTTAATCTGCAACCGGCCGACCGGACGGGCGCGGGAACCACAGCTTCACAAGGGAAGATCGGGGTCTCCCAAGCTTCTCCGACCCCAAGAGCGGATGCTTAAGGGCGTCTTGATGACCTTAGGGAACCCGGTCCGACATCCCCCCCCCAGCCTCCCAATTTGGACCCGCAAGGCAAAACTCCGATCCGGAGGCTGAGTGGGAAGACGAAGCGAGCGGCCACACGGAACGGAGCCCCCCGAGGGTTTTCCGATGATCCGCGCCGAACCCACCCGGAGGGCGTCGAAAGAAGGGTCGGGACTGGGAGCCGAGGGAGACACCCCAACACCCCCCCCACACACACACAGCAGGCCGGCCCACCAAGCGGGAGGAGCGATTTTCGGTCTGAATCGGCGGGGAGTTCCCGGGGCGCCTGCCGCCCCGCTCCCTTCCCGGCTGAGGGAAAAACTTTCTTCCGAAGGCTCCCCGCCTTCCCCACCTGCTGCGCTGCGCCCTCCGTCTCCCCAGGCGCCAACTTGCGGCCCAAACGCACCGCGGGAGGGAGGGGCGGGGGGGACTCCGACCTCTGAGCAACTGGTGCCAAGTTGCGCGACCGCGCCCACCGCCGCCCCTCCGAGGCCCGTCGGGAGGGAGACCGAAGGGGGAAGCCCGCGCAGGCTTCCATGGCTGCCTTCCCCAGCCCCGGGCTCCAGCGTGGCGAGCGGTCGCCCGGAGTTCCGCAGGCCCCGCGGACAGACCTCTGGCCGCCTCAGCCCAACGCGTCCGGGACTCCGCCGCCCCCGCCCTCTCAGCCGGCTCGGCTCGGGGAACGGAGCCGCCACTGACCTGGGCGGGGCGCACCGTTGTCCGCGCCGGTGCAAGCCGAGCGCTCAGCACCGCATCTCGCCGGTCCTCCGTCTGCCTCCTCCGTCCTCTCCGGCGCCGTCGATGCACAGCGGCCGCCCGGCTTCCTCGCCTGCCGGACGAGCCGCGAGCGGGGACGCTGCGCGGAAGAGCCGGGCGCCGGGAGCGGCTGGCCGGGCGGGCGGGGCAGGGCGGGGCGGGGCTGCCTTCGCTTGCCGCCGCCTTCTTGGAAGCTGCCGGCGAAGAAGAGCTGCTCTCCGCGCCGCAGGCAGACCGAGCCGCCGCCTCCTCCTCCGCCTCCCTCCGCCTCCGCCATAGCAACCCGCAGGAAAGCCGCCCACCCCCCGCGAGGCCAGACGCGGGTGGCTGAAGCGGCGCCCTCCGCCCCGGCGCCCTCCTTCCGGTCACCTGCGCTTGGCGCGCCAGCGGGGAAGGGGAAGCGGCGCCGGGTTCCTCGCGCGCCCAGCCGCCTTCGCCGCCGGCCGAGGGCGTGGGAAGCCGGAGGGCGCGGAGGCCCGGAGGGGGCGCAGGTGTGGCGCGCCTCCCCCCCTCCTCGGGCAGCACCTGCCGCGGCTCCTCCGCGCCGACAAGCCTTCCCGCCGCCCCCCCGCCCCAAAGTTGCCAGAACTCACAAGTTCGGCGAAGGGGCGGCCGCCGCCAACTCCGGGACGCGCGCTCGGGACTCTGGAGCAGGAGCGCGGCGGAGGGAGCAGCGGCCCGCCGCCCGCGAAAGATCTGTCCGCTTTAGGCCCGCTTCTCCCTCCGCAGCGGAGGAGCTGCCGACGGCAGGAGAAAGTCGCCCTGTTTGCTCCAAAGCGGCGGGAGGGGCTGTTGTAGGCCAAGGAGCTCGTGGGCGGCGAGGCGACGGAGGGCCGGGACCAGCCGGCTTGGGGGCCCGCGGGGGTCCCTTGTGGCCCCTCAACCTTATGCCACCGGTAGCCTCCTACAGAGAGGGCCTCCTCAGGGTGCCGTCGGCCAGACAATGCCGGGGAGAGCCTTCTCTGTGGGGGCACCCGCCCTCTGGAACGAGTTGCCCCCAGAGATACGGCGGATCCCTGACCTTCGCGCTTTCCGAACTGCCCTAAAGACGTTTTTGTTTCATCAAGCCGGGCTGGCCTGACCTACTCTTTTTAAAAAGAATTGTTTTAAAAAATTAAGGGTTTTAATATAGGGTTTTTAACTATGGGCCAAATTGATTTAATTGGATTTTAATATTGTTTTAAATTTTGCATCTGTGTATTTTATTTGCTGGCTGTTCACCGCCCCGAGTCCCTCGGGAGAGGGGGCGGTATATAAATATAATTAACTAACTAACCTTGCATCAGGGCCAAAGGATGCAATGGCTTCCGCCTGAAGACAATGCGACACCCCTGCAGCCCGCCTTGCTTTGCCCCCGTCAACTAGGCCATCGGCGGAGCAGGAGGGCAAAGCCGCCCTTCTGGCGGGGCAAAGCGGGAGGGTTTTTCTCTCAGCTGCTGCCTTTTCCCTGGGGAAAGACGGGCCCCATCCTGACAGTTTCCGCAGGGACCAGGATCGGAGACTTCCAGCTCCTTTTAAAGACTGGAGGGGAGAGAGAAAAGGCAAAATTTCAGGCAGTGTTTCTGGCTGATGTCTGTTTTTTTTTTTTTTAAAAAAAGATAGGTCTTTACTGTCAATATAAGTCCTTTGCATAATCTCTTAATTGAGATGGTAAATCATTGGCTGTAACACTTCCGTTTCATGGACAGACTCAGAGCTGATGGGATCTGAACGGAGGATTTATCGCCCTGCAAAAACTGAAGTGAGCAAAAGATGGCACTGAAGAGACAGAGAATGGGCGGCATATTTTTGTGGCTCTCTAGTGGCCACCTGGATTTTTTCAGACAGCCTTTTTGGTAGCTTTCTCCTGCTCTCCTGGCAGGAGCTGTGCCAAAAGAGGGAATAGAATGAGGCAGGAAAGGCTGCTCAAGCTCCCTCCTCCTGGAAATCCAGTTGATACTCCTGAGCCAATCCCAGCAACACAACTTGGAAGTTTGTGTGTGTGTGTGTGAGAGAGAGAGAGAGAGAGGGAGCTCTGCTAGCTCTGGCTTCCTTTCTCTCTTTCTCCCATGGATGTCCACAGGGTATTGTCAGAACAGCCAAGATAGCATTAGCACTTTGACATATATACCGCTTCACAGTGATTTAAAGCCCTATCTAAGTGGTTTACAGAGTCCGCCTATTGCCCTCATTTTAACAACCTTAGAAGGATGGAAGGTTGAGTCAGTCTTGAGCCGGTGAGGATCGAACTGTCGGCAATGAGCTGAATTAGCCTGCAATACTGCATTCTAACCACTGCAGCACCACTGCTCCAGGAAAAGTTTATTTATTTATTTATTGGTTCAATTTATATGCCGCCCTTCTCCGGAGACTCAGGGCGGCTTACAATGCATTAAGCAATAGCCTTCATACTTTTGTATATACCTACTTAGTAGGGCTTTCGGCCCCCACCCCCAAGCAGTGTTCTTTTTTATACAAAGTCAGCTTATTGCCCCCACAATCCGGGTCCTCATTTTACCTACCTCAAAAGGATGGAAGGCTGAGTCCACCTTGAGCCTGGTGAGATTCGAACTTGCAGTAATTGCAGGCAGCTGGTGCTACTTAACAGCACTTTACAGCACTTTAATCTGCTGCGCCACCAAGGCTCTTTACAGTTGGTGGCCATAATAGTGTGGCTCAAATAAAAAACAGGCCAGTGGCAGCATTGTGACTGGTATCTGGAGCTTTCAGACCATCCCAGGGGGAGGGAAGAGACCCCCATTCTGGCATTCCACTAGATCAGTGGCTCCCAACCTTTTAGGCACCAGGGATCGGGTCCATGGAGAGAGTTTCTGGCATGCCACAGTCCATGGATCGGGTTGGGGACCCTTGCGCTAGATGCCAGCAAAGACCAAAAAGCCTTCACACCTCACTCTTTGCTGCCCCCTAGCAATGAGCTTGCATGTTGCAGCTTCCCTAGGGAAGGCCTAAGAGGTGGGGGCTTGGGGTCTTTTGAGGTGGGCCGATCTATGTTTTGAATGGGAAGAGAGAGGTGGGGGGGGAAAGGGATGCTTTGGGTGACAGCAAAGGGAGGAAAAACCCTCTGGGGCTCATGCTTGCCATTTCTGCAGGGAGGAAACCGGCCAAATGACCCTTTTTTAAAAAAAATTTGATTTATATGCCGCCCTTCTCCGGAGACTCAGGGCGGCTTACAATGCGTTAAGCAATAGCCTTCATCCTTTTGTATATTTATACAAAGTCAGCTTATTGCCCCCACAATCTGGGTCCTCAATTTACCTACCTTAGAAAGGATGGAAGGCTGAGTCAACCTTGAGCCTGGTGAGAATTGAACTTACAGTAATTGCAGGCAGCTGTGTTAATAACAGGGTGCATTTGACCACTGTACTATCAAGGCTCTGACCCTTCTTCTCCCCCAGGTCAAAAGTGTGAAGGGAGGGTCACGAATGGGAGATTCACACTCCGCCCCTTTTATATGTATCATAATCAAGATAGTGTCAAAAAGAGATGGAGTTTTGACTGTAGCCTCATCTGCCAGCTTGACTCCTTTACATCAACCCATGGACATGCCTGCCCCATGCCCCACTTCTCTCAATAGGCAATTTTTGAGTACCACTGAGGTGCTCTCACCATTGGGGATCCCAGTCAGAGGGATTTGCTCAGGAGCCAGAATGATGCGCTTCTGTCCTGCTTGGATGTAGCCTGAGCCAAAGAGATGCATTTGTATCAAAGGGATCTTTTCTAATGTAGCATTTCCTCCCCACAGGACATAGTCCACATAACAAACTACTGAATTATTCATCATCTATAGAGGAAATTAATTTCTAGGAAAGGAGGTATCATTTATATATATATATTTTAAAACAAAACAACAAACCCATCATGGCATTTTGCTTTCATTTGGCTTCAGGATAAAAGAGTCCAAACTAAGGCACACATTTCAAACCCCAAGCCAAAAATTCTCAGGTGGACTTACAGTTTGTTTTTAGTTACCTGGGCAGAAAAATACGTCTTAGCTGGAAAGCAGAAAACCTCATCACACTGGTAGTACTTTATTCCAGACATAACTCTCTTTCCATACTGTTTCCCACTTTTAACAGTTAACTAAATTTTGATTTATCATTTTGCAACTGACTAACCCAAGATCCGTCCCCCCCAGAGGGTGTTATTGTGAGGAATGGCTGGAAGGGTAAATGCAGAGGAAGCAGACTGAAAAACTAGGAAGGAGGAGCCTGGGGCTGGAAGGTGCTTTGCCCAGAATCTAGGGAGCCCCATGGACAGAGATGCTGGCCACATACTTCCTTTTTTTCCTTTTGGAGGGAAAACAAGCATTTTCAGGATGTGTGGAGAGTGCAAGTCAACAACTGGTGCTAAGAGGAGAGAGACCTGCTGTAAACCTTGGGAGGAGGGCTTGCTCCCCCCACTTAATTATTCCTGCATGAATTGAACCATCTCCTGCTAGAGGAGAATTATGTGTTTTGGGAAGAGGGAGGGGTTGAAAGATAGCTCTGCCTTCACACAATACTGAGGTGCGCGCACGCACACTGGTTGACAAGCAAGGGTTCGTGATTAGGAAGGGCCTGTTGTCAGAAAAGGCTTCTACACGTGGTGGCTGGGGAATTTGGGTAGTGAAATCCAGAGACTGAACTGCCCTCTGTCAGAAATGGTGTAGGGTCTCCTGCTTGGGTAAAAGGTTGGACTAGATGACCTACAAGGTCCCTTCCAACTCTGTTAATCTGTCAATCAGAATAAAGTTGAAAGTTTTGACCAAATCCTTGCTCAAGCAAGAGATCAATAAGTGTTGTACCTTATGATTCTTGACGAATGTATCTTTTCTTTTATGTACACCGAGAGCGTATGCACCAAGACAAATTCCTTGTGTGTCCAATCACACTTGGCCAATAAAGAATTCTAATTCTAATTCTTATTCTGTTCTGTTCTGTTCTGTTCTGTTCTATAGCATTTCAGAGAAGTGACCATACAGTCTCTTCTTAAAAATCTCCAGTAATGGAAGACCCATACCTTCTGAAGGGAACCTGTTCCACTGGTTTTATTGTTCTCACTTTTGCTTATCTCCTTGATCAGTTTCTATCTATTGTTTCTTGTCTTGCCTTCTGTTGCTATGC